CCGAGAGCTTTCCAATTCCGCCGGCGAGTAGTCGAAGACCGACGACGCGACCAGGGCCAGAAGCAAGTTGCGCCCGCCCTGGCGCAGCGCGAACGTCGCCGCGTGCGCCACGGCGGCTCCCGCGAAGCGCCCGTCCGATAGCAAGTCCCGCGTCGACGTCTCGCCCGCGCGCGCCGCCTCGGCGGTCGTCTCCGGCTTCGTCTCGCAGAGCGCGAGGCCGGCGTGCGCCGCGGAGACGACGCCCAGGACCGCCACGGCCACGAAGGGCGCGCGCAGCGAGTACTCCGCGGCGAAGCCGCCCAGCACGGGCCCGAGCGACACGCCGCACAGGAGCGCCGCGTGGTTCATGCCGAGCACGCGGCCCCGGTTCGTCGACGTCGCGACGTCGTTGAGGTAGGTGGCCGCCGTGCCCAGGTAGGCCGCGTTGCCCGCGCCCGCGACCATCCTCGCGGCGGCGAACGACGCCGCGTCGGGCGCGGCCGCCGACGCCGCGTGGCCGACCGCGTTGACGAGTGCGCCGCCGACGAGCAGGGGCTTGCGCCCCCACTTGTCCGCCGCGGCGCCGACGGGCACGTTGAGCGCGAGGCGCGCCATGCCGAAGGTGCTCAGCGCGACGCCGACGTCCGCGGCCGACGCGCCGAGGCTCGACGACAGCAGCGGCACGCACGGCGCCGCGACGCCGTGGCCGAGCATCATCGTCAGCGTCGACCCGCAGACGGCGACGACGCGGCCGTCGCGCCAGGGCGCGTCCTCGTCGCGCGGCGGCGGCGGCGGCGGCGCGTTGCCCAGCGCGCGCCGGCCCTGGAAGCGGCCGAGCCCGGGCCGCAGCACCGACGCGAGCAGCAGCGCGCGCCGCGGCACCATCGCGCGCTTTTGTCGCGAGACGGCGCGCGCGGATCGCTCGAGCTTGCCGCCAAGCTCGAGGCGCAGAGACGGCTCTACCTTGGCGCGCGCGGGTCGCGCGAGCGCTGCGTCATAGCCTCGCGCGAGCTCTGCACCCGCCGATCCCGCCGGGGTAAAATCGATCGAATGACCCCTCCGTGCTTCATGATCGACATTGTGCAGCGTTTTGGCGGCGCGCTGCGATGGGATGGCCGTCTTTGAGGGCCCGCCGCTCCGCGAATATGCAGAATCGTGCAACGATCCCAGCAGCTGCGAGGGCCGCAAGGACGAGGGTGACGCACATGCGAAGACGCGACGCTCATACGACCGCGTGGCGACTGGAACGGGGAGGTAGAGTGGGTGGGAAGGGACGCGCTGCCCCCTCGCGACCCCTCTAGCATAGTTTTCGAGCCATCGCAGCAGCGGAGATCGTTCGTCATCAACCCCGTCGCGTCCAGCGCGGCAGGTTCCTCGGGGGGGGGGCGAAATCGTCGAGTCCACCGAGCCGAGCTCCGGAGGCGTTTCGTCCCGACGGTGGCCGTGGGGTGTCTGGGGCTGCCCCTGCCGCCGGACATGGTCTTGATCCGTTCCATACCATGATAGGGTCGGGTCCAGACCATGTCCGGCGGCGAGGCCCCACCCCAGGCGCCTCGGGCTGCCCCTCGGGACCTCGAGCCAACCGACGTCGGGTTCGACGGCTTCCGCATGGTCGCTGCCGTCGGAACCCACTAAGGAT